TAGGGGAAGACCCAAAGGAAAATGTGCTTGGTAAGGGAGGAAAGAAATGGAGTATCTAGGGGTCAGGCAGGGATATACAAATTCACTTCCATCAAATTCTTGCTCCCTAAATAAGACACTGTTATTCAGACCTGCCTATCTGTAGGAAAATCTGGGAACCAATTAGCTCTACTGCCTGCATTTATTTAGAAACGAGTGGATGCAGGGGATCCGGGTATGCCAGGCTGGTTTGTGCCCCATCCATTTCTTGGGTGTCACTGGGTGCTTCATCTCCACGCTCCCAGCATTTTAGGAATAAATCAGCTTTTACAGGCTCACTGGGATAGCTCTTAGCTTCTGAAAAAAACCCAAACATTTAGGCTGTGCCTCTGTGATTCTTAAACCCTTTGTGTTTGTGGGAAAAGACTGTAGTTTGCCCAGGCGGAGTCTAGGTTTTCTTCCTTTACAGGGATCCTTGTCCTTTTGTTGTCCAAATTGGTAACCTGTTGGAGCATGCCACTGTTTCAGTGCACTCAGGCTTGATTTCCATGGAAATAGGGAAACACGCAGTGGATGAGAAGGGTGTTTTCCCAGGTCTTACCCAAACATGAATACAATGTGTGTACACACAATCTCAGGACCTAAAAACTGACCTCAGCTTCCACAAATACCCTGCAATCTCTCCCGACTAACACAGGCGTTTACATGCACCTGTAAATAATTAGTGATTTTTGTCCCATACCACTGGCCTTTTTGAAGTGCCCAGGACTGTGACATGTGGCAGGCTGGAAGGATGACGCTGAGCATCCCTCCCTGACTGCGCCATCGGATGGCACTGTGTGCTCTGTCTTACGAACGCAGAAGTTTGAGGGGAGATATTTATGCAGAGCAACAATTAACACAGTTAATTGCGTTTATCTTTCATGTTGGCAGATCAGCCAACTGTCAGCTATTTCAAACTAACTCATCAGTTAGATGTCTTCACGTTGATAATTGATCCCTCAATTATATGTGAAAAAATTCACGCTTATTAGAGCTAGTTTGTGGTGCATGCCTTCTGGTTTTACCCCTGGTGCTTTGGATCTGTCTGTCTTAAATGAAGGTTAATAATTTCATTTCCTTGGGGGAGAATAAACTATGCTTCATTTTCTTTTACATTCTGGTAATTGCAAGAGGTTGCAGAGCAAGTTGCAGGAGTTTAAATCTCCGGTCTTTCATGGGAGCTGGAGCGTTTCCTACTCTCCTGGTGCTTAAGGCACATATTCTTAGCCCCAAAGCTGTGGATGCCAACTCTGTGCCCTCAGCTGAAGCCAAAGTCAGTGAGAAGTGCCCCAGAGCAATGGACACATCATAGGTTTGACATCAAAGTTAGAAAATTACTCATCCTGAATGTTCTTGTACATTAAAGCCCACAGGCATCCGTGCAGAGGCTGCACCCTCCACTGTCACCAGTGTTAGCACTGGAGGCAACTGGAACCTTTCTGAGTCTGGCTCTATATCTAACTGTAATTAACAGACGTTTAAATGAGGAGGGAGCGCGGAGAGAGGGAAATGAGCTAGCTCACACACTGGAAATTATGGCAGGGACTCACTAAACTGCTCACATAAAGAAGTCTGCAAGGAGGTGGATGCTTGTCCAGCTGGCCTTCCTCCCTCTGCCAATGATGGGGGACACTGCTGGAGTCTTAAATAATGCTGATATGGGAAAAGTGTTGTGAGATCCTCAAATACTGTGATACCATGAAGTCTTTTGGAGGAGGGATCAGTGAGCCCTTGACTGACCATTGATTATGGCCATTTTTCTTGCTGGCCTTACTGATAGCTCTGCTTGCTACCTGATGTGATTTTGCAACTGTCCAGGTTCTGTACCTTTGAGGGACTCCTTACCCCAACAAACTTGCCCTGTTCTCTCTTCAGCATCTTCTGACTCCTTTTCCTCCTGACACCATCCCGTCTTTCTCTGTTTCGCACTTTACTGGGAACTGGTGCTGCAGCAAACTGGAGGAGGGGTGCAAAAGCTCAGCCTGCCTCTGGGCTCCTCTCTCCTGCTGTAGCAACTCTCCAGTGACAAGGGGGTGAAAGCAGAGCCCTGCTTTTTTTTTTGCACAAAGCAAAAGACAGCCTAGGATCATGGATATCACAGTGTTGTGGTAAAGTCAGTGGCAGATAGCCAGGGAGGTCACCTGGTGTTGCGTGGGCTTAAAACCACAGCACCACTGGGGTGCCTTGCCGTGCCCAGCTCTACTCTGCATTTAGGTGAGGCAGATGTACTGGGACATGCGTGCACACAGATGTGTGTCAGTATCTGCCCACACACGCTCTGCAGCCTTGGCTGGCAGCACAAGTGTAAGCTCTAAACATCTGGGTCCCGTCCTGCAGCACAGGTGAGTACCTGCACGCAGGAGAGCAGCCCCGCTGGTTCTGTTATGCTGCTGACACTAATGTTACTCATCCTGGCGTGCTCACAAAAATTTGTAGGACAGGGCCCAAAGCAGTTAAATTTCATGTTTATTAAAACACAGCTGCATTTATTTTTGTTAGAGACTTTTAAAAATAATAGCACACTATGAACAATACAGCAACCAATATAACACGAAATCATAACGCTGTTTTGAGTCATGCAATGCTGTCTAGTCCTTTAACATCATAAATTGTTCACTGATCAGGAGCTCAGTGGCATGCTAGCAGCAAAGCAACGGTGTACGAAAATCAAGGATCGTGACCTGTGATGGCAGTAGCAGCACCATGAATTATTTAAAAGATTAAACTTCAGCAAATCTAATCTACATTTGGTGATTTAGCTGATTTTCCACTTCATCTGTGAGCAGTGAAATGGAGCAAGTGGTCTATTGTTTTTCTTTCTGGCACATTTCAAAGCCAAATCACTGAGCCAACCGACCCATGGGAGGGTCCCCGGAGTATCTGTCCTTAAAGGCTGCACCTGGACTCCTGCATTGGTTTAGAATTTAAAGTTGTGGTCCTGCTTCAGTGTCACAGCTGTCAGATACGGTCAGGAATGGTCCCTTTCTCTCTCTGGGTTCTCACTGCTGTAAAGTTTGGGTGTTGAACACTGGATGAGGAGGTTGTCTGAGCAAAAGAGGGATTTCATTGCACATTAAAAAATTATAATGTTTGAGGTAGCATTAGAACTGAATCTGCCTCCACTTAAAATAAATAAATGGACCTGCAAAATTTCATTGAGTTAATTGCCTAACCATAAGCAATAAAACAATAGGGACCTGTAAGCTGTCAAATGAATGATTCACTAACACATTTGTGTGCTGAGAAGATAATAAAGAGAAAAACCAATATTGCCGTTTCATTAGGCCTTGTGGGCTTATCCTCCTTTCACAATCATATAAATCAAGAGTAACTACACTTAAGTCAATGAAGTTATCCTGCTGTAAAAGCACTACTTGTCAGGCAGGGATTGGATTAATACATAAATTACGAACCCATTCCAAAGATTTGTGGATTCATTTCCATTTGCTGTTGTTCCAGGCAGGTCCTGCCAGCCTCAGTTAACTGTCTGCTGTGCTGCTGGCTGGCACTGGGGTGAAAAAAGGAAAAGAAAAAAAAAAAAAAGCGGGAGCATTGCCCCAGACTCTGATGGGAGCACGAACAGGTCTCTGGATGCTGCTTGCTCTTTCAGTGTTGCCGTTCGGATTGTTTTGTTATTTATTGTTGACTTTCCTAAGTGTCTGAAATTTCTTTTCTTTTTCACAAATGGCTGTGTCATTCAAGGTAAGGAGGCAGACGCATTCCTCATTGCTGTGAGCTTATGTATTTGCAGAAACCTGGAGCCCGTGGCAGCCCTGGAGCCCCTGCAGCGTCACCTGTGGGGACGGTGTCCGGGAGCGCTCCCGAGAGTGCCTCACCTCCTCGCCGACAAAACCAGGCTGCGCTGGATCTCCGAGGGAGACTTCCCCGTGTTCGCTGGAGGAGTGCTTGTGTACGTAGCTCTGCTCTCTTCCCTGTGGTCACATGTCTGCCCTGGCAAAAGCCAAGGGCCTGTTGCTAGAAGGGCTTGGTAAAATGGAAGCATCCAACCTCTCCTTCAGTCATACTGATTTTAGGGGGATGCCACATTGCTGTGGTTGATGGAGAAGGGCGGGAGCCTACATGCATTTTGTGGGATAGCTGGAGGTAGGGCTCCAAGGCTTAAGAAGATTTCTGCATTCTGTGAGTGCCATGAAAGGGGTTTAAAATCTCCAGTGTGGCCAGGGCATAGGGAAGGGCAGAAGGAGAGATCTTGGGGCAGCGAGACATGTTCAGTACTGAAGGACAAAGACTCCAGGCAACGCAAACCCATTAAAAAGTGGAAACCTATTAAAAGAGGACTGGTTCCAGCTGGGACCCATGATGTGGGGTTCCCATTCTGGGAGTGCTTTGAGGTGGCAGTGCCAGGTCTTCTGCTCCAGCCTGCTGCTGCTGTTGGCCGGTGACAGAGTAGGCTGGCTGGTGGTGGGGGGCGGCAAGTGGGTGCAGATACAGGAGAGCAGAGCCACCTGTAGGGTGAGAGGGAGTCACAGCAATTGCATAGCCTCCGGTGGGGCTGGATCAGGCTGTGCCAACACCATAATCAGGTGCCTACAGTCAGCATGAGGGGCAGGAGAAGTGGTTCCTTTTAATGGAGTGATAGTGCTCAGTCAATGCAAAACTTTTGGTTCTTTCAAACTTGGTGCTGAAAAGGAGGGTGCTGATGCCAAGAGGCTGTGGAGGTTCGTCTGCTCAAAAACTGGCTGATGTACAACCTCCACTGCCTTTGTGCCCCACTGGTTCCACAGGTGGCAGGGATGGGGAAGGGAAGGTGCACAGAGACTGTGCAGGCTCCTAGGCTCTCAGGCTGTAATTTAATAGATAATTTCAGCTATTACAAAGTGAGCAATGCCTTACCCCTTGCTTTGGGTGCTTCCTCGCACTTATTTGTGCTGGCAAAAGTGGAGTGTGGAGAACTGGAATGAAGCCAGCTAAAAAATTGATAGTCTGGGGATGTGGGGAAGTTGGTTATCACAGGGCCATTGCAATGCTTCTGTGGTGCTCGTGCACTGAGAAGACAAGGGCAGCAGAGAAGGAGGATGTGTAGCTGGAGCAGGAAGAGGACAAGACTTCTTTTTTGGAGAAGGTGTTGGCTTGAACCAGCTTCAGGGTGTTTGTTGAATGAATGCCTCAGAAGTATACAGGCAGGACTGAAATGCATTGTGGAGCACTGCAAGAAATGGGTTGGTATTGAACAAAAGGTTGGGTGAAGGGAAAATATTAAAAATTGCATTCCATCAAGCAAGGTAATGCATTTTGTCAGTGTTCGTGCAGCACTTGGGATGTTTTAACAGTTTGTTGTTAAGGTGTCTTGTTTTTTTGTGTCTGGTGTTTTTAATTACTGGAAAATGCTGGCCCTGTGTGTTTGCTATTTTTCTGTACACAGACAGGAACAGGTCATATGTTATGGGGCCCACCTTAAAGCTCCGCTCTGTGGCTGGTTGTCTTTTCCATGCCAAACTCTGTCAGACTGCTGTGGGCAGTGATGCCACCAGCCAAGCGCAGTGGAGTAAGGGGTGGTTTTCTAGAGCTGGTGCTGAGCGATAATATTCCGTGCCTCCTGTTACCTGCTGGAGGGTATTTCCATCAGCACAGTGTTAGACTTGGCTCCTTGCTTGCCAGTTTCACCCCACTCCTCTGGAGCTCAAAGAGCAGTCCCGGTGCACAGAGCTCCCTGGAGCAGGGCCTGTGTGCACAGAGCGTGTGCTGGACACGCGATTTCGGTGTGCACCTTGCTCTACACCCACAGAAGTGGCAGGCCTCTCTGGTGCTTCTCGGTGATGAGCACCGTTAAGGTCACAGTGTCAAGTCACTGCTTGAGCAACCTTTCTGTGCAGGTGTGCAACCATCTAAGGCTTATGATGGTTTCCAGAGAGGTCAGATGTCCTGTGCTTACATGGTGCCCATGCCCATGGCAGTCTGGTTGGAGTTACTGTCTGACAGAGCTCCACAGGCCTGGACAGTCCTCAGATTCCAGCAGAGTATCTGGGGCAGATGTATATG